AAAATAAAGGTTAGATGAAAATATACAGTAACAATGTGTAAAAACAGAACTAGGCTGATTGCATTGTCTCAACTACAACTCAAGAATAATCTGTATTAGTCCCAGCTTGCAACTGCATTACAATGAGACAATATCACAGTGCATACTGAAGACAAAACACTGTGGAAAATCTATAAATTGACTTTCAAATCCCAGTTTCAGAGTATCTGAAATGTGATTTTCATACTTTAAAATGTAACTAAAAATAACTAAAACCAGAGGCTGATAATGAGGCAGGGGAATACAAATCCAACACTGCCGAAAACCACTACTGACTGACTCCTGAGCTCTGCTAATCCTTTTTTATCCTCTCATGTTCCGACTGATGTGACACGTGTACCTGAAGCAGCTGGACACAAGTTGTGTCGGCCGCCCCTTTGGCCAGTGGACGTGGAGCCAGAGTCTCTCTTTGACCCCGGGGTCGACTGCAGAGCCTCTTTTCTTCACATAAGGCAGCTTCAGAGTCATCACACCTGCAGGGGGTGGGGCGGGAGGAGAGGATACGTGGAGGATTACACAAGATCATCAAGTTCCAGCTGTCATAAAGGGCATCGGCAGTGTGATTTCAGTTTTCTGTGGATGCATTTTGTCATAAAGGGCATCGGCAGTGTGATTTCAGTTTTCTGTGGATGCATTTTGTCATAAAGGGCATCGGCAGTGTGATTTCAGTTTTCTGTGGATGTGAGCTGCATTTTAATTATTTTTAATTTGGATAGTTTTTATATTTTAAAGACTTTTTAATCCAAGTCCAATTTTGAGAAATTTTCTTAATATTAATATTGTGCAATGAAATTCAAATTTTAGCCCCCCCAAAAAATCTGAATTTCTATACTTTTAAAAAGAATTCCGTAACACTGACCCTAACTTTAGATTTATATACAGGTACGTACATCAATTTGTTTAGTTTTTTTAATTATAAATGAACAATATAATACTCTGTTGATACGTTTTGGGGCTTCTGTATACGAATAGATGTCAGGAGGGGGGATGTCATGAGTACAAAATCCTGGCTTCTTGCAGCTTCAGTCCACAAATTGGCCTTAAAGGCATATTGAGTCGGATTTGTCGGTTGCGGTTTGAAAACCAGGGCTGCGGTTAACAATTAATCTCCTGGTCTCCTGAAGGCACTCCACTGGTTAATTAAAAAAAGCACACTATTGGAAGTTGGCCCCTCCCCCCTGGCTCAAGTAAAAAACAGAGTGAAAGGGAAACAGAGAGAGAGAGACAGAGCGTGAGAGCAGTGGTGGTGGACCGAGGTAGACAGCGAGAAAAAAGCAGTGAATCAGAGAAATGAATTGTTGTTTTTTTAGGAAAATCCTGTACCTTTTCCCTTCGCCGAGCTCCAGATCCTTACAGTCTGGTCTTTGCTCCCAGACGCAAGATAGCAGCCCTTCTCGTCTCCTGTAGACACTCCACTGGTTGCTACAGGATGGGGGGAAAAAAAGTCCATATATGGTATACATTTTCCATCATCACATTAGTTTCTATAACCACTTTGCCTTTGGGACAGCACACTGCTTACCTTCACTGTCCTCAAGCCTGCCGTAGAGGATGTCTTCACTGGCCAGAGGTGACCACGTCAGTGAGTGGATCTCATCGTCATGTCCCCGGAGACGGTGCATCACCTCGCCTTTCTTGCTCACATCAATCAGCACGATCATCCCATCTTTGTACCTTGGAAGGAATAAAGACAGCACCGTCACAATCGCTGATATTTAGATTCCACTCTAGCTTAAGGTTGAATTTGAGTAAACTTTATAAATGTTATTACTTTCACCATCTATGACCACTGAAACAGGGTGTCTGTCAGATTTGAAATACTTTAAAAAGGGTCCTTTAAAAACAAATACAAAATAAATGTTTATGGACTAGGGTTGTTTTTTCCCTACTTTTTTTAAGTATGGAAGTGTTTGATTTCTTTCTACAGTTAAGTACAAAGTGAGTTGTTGACAATAAATAAATATTTTTACAAACACAGGTGGTTTAAGTCAAAATTTAGAACTTCTAAAATCGAATTTAATCCCCGATATTCAGAAAATATGAGACTTTCAGTAGGTAAGACATTATTATGATGTTGTTTTTCTCTTATTTTTGATTCAGACTTCAGACTTTCTGGACTTGAAGAAACCATTATAAGAGCTGTGATCCAGCAGCGTGAACTGTACTCTCTGTGGTGTTCTTACCCCACGGCCACAGTGCTCCAGGTGTGAGGGGAGCAGGTGAGGCAGAAGATGGTCCTGGGCTCGGGGAAGAAGCTAGTCGTGTCTCCTGTGTGGTACCAGTGGCAGACGACAATGCCCTTCTCATCCCCCGACACCACAAGGTTTTTATCCACCGGAGACCAGTGCACGGCTGCGACAGGGGTCTGTGTGTGAAAAAAAAAAAAAAACTCTAGTTACATCCTTTTGATAATGTGTATCACATTGTACTAGTCAGCTCCAGTGCTAGGTTTTAGTTTCTTATGATCGTCAAAATGCCATTTCCAAGGCTTTTCTACCTTTCTCAGGAAATCAGTTGAAAGGAAACACACCTTTTTTCCATTCTTTTCAATTATTGCCATGAAAATTGAACATTTACAAGCATCCTAATGTTCTCCTAGACGCCTGATATTAATGGTTAGTCTACTGATTGTTATCAGTAAAAGCTGGACATCAACTGAAAGAGGATGAGATAAATTAGAAAGAGAAAAACAAAAATGAAAAATAGAAAGCATCACTGAACGGATTTACAGTATCTGATGGTTTTATGCATCCCTCATGATATGCCAACAATTCACTTGCATATTTATGGATAGAAATTCTGACCTATTTGTTGGGGCCTGAATCTGTTTTTCAAAGATGGAAGACTAACCATCCTGTCAGTCCGCGGCTTTTATTTTTCAGATCAAAACAAAGATATCCAAAATATCCCTTGAAGGCATAGTTTGAAGCAAATAATGGAAAGGGGAAAAAAGGCACTTTAACCTTGACAACTGTTTTTAAAATAACCCGGAGAGAGTCATTGAATTGCTGCAGAGCGGTGGCCTGGAAGCCAACAGTAGAAATCTGTGCGGTTTGTACCCAGCCAGAGTAACTGTCCTCATCCTGTCAACCTCAGATGGTTAACGTTCTACGTCCAGACCCGGGTCGACAGCCCTCTCTCTCGCCATGACCGCACAGGAATGTGAAACCTAAATGTGAGACAGTGAAGCTGACAGCTCATCTAATCTATGTGCATCATAACTTCTACGACTGCCTGAGTTCCAGAAGTGACTGACTGCAGCCTGAAGGGGCTGCCAGCATGTTGTTGTGGAAACACACTGTTTCTGTCACAATGACACAACAAAACAGGGGAGTCAACACTCACCTGATGAGCTGCATTCTCCCTTATGAGAGCCTTGTTGTCTGAGTCCCAGAAGCGAACACTCCCATCATTGGAGGAGCTGACACAGATGTGACTCTGCCCTGCATGCTGACAGAATGAAAAGCCCGACACCAAGTCTTTATGGCCCACGAGCTCACCTGAAAAACACAAAAACAGCATTGGGTATCGGTGTCTTATCTCAAAGCCAAGACAGATAAAGGCCGGAAAATACCAAAACTGACAGAGAATTAACCAGCAACAATTTTACTACTCGTTTAATTGTTTGTCATTCTCTATTTTTTTTGTCATATATGAAGAAGAATACAACAAACAATCGGAACACACGCCCTTGCTGTCGTGTCAGAAATATAATTGCTTTTTGTTTTTTAATGAAGCACCACTGATTTTCCACATTAACATCAGTTTCCTCACCAGGACGAGCCTGTGTTACAGACTGGGTGTCTGGAGTTAGACAGGTCTAATGAAAGATGCTATGGAGTTGCATTATGGGAACTGTAGCATGCAGTGTGTTTGGAGATTCAAAATCAAGGTTGATTTTGATTCCTTTTTTTTTTTTTCTCTCTGTACATCGCTGGTCCCCAAACTTTATGAAAGTGCAATGATAAATTATTGGAGTACCTCTTTAATTAATCATTGTATGAAAACTCAATATATTCAGTTTACAATATCAGAATATAAAACAGAGGAGAACAGTAAATCCTCACAATTGAGAAGCAAATGTGTTTTAGGTGATAAATAACTTAAATGATTAATCAATTAATCGAACTGTTGTCAACACCCATCTTATGATTATATTCAGCTGAAGTTCTCAATAAATCAGATCAAAAATCTCCTAGCTACTGTTGTAACTGTTACTCGAACTGAAGTCAAAGATTAATTTGGGCTTTTTGAGTGATCGACTGATTAATCAACTAATCATTTCAGCATTAGAGTCATCATGTTCAACCAATCCAGTCCGATGATCGGTTTTTCAATCAGTCCACGACTCCCCAAGGAGGTGTAACCATCCCACCTGAGACGATCAGATCACCTCGATTTGGACTAAAACATGACTTTTGCCCTGCGCATAACCTCACCTGTAGTCTTCAACGAGACACCAGAGTGATCCCTGAGTGTATGTAACGCGAAGCAGCGGCAGCAGACTCACCTACGACCCTGCAGGAGGACGCAGACGCTTCAATCAGGTAGATGATGTTTTTGGCTCCGACGCCCAGTAAACCGCCGCTGCTGACGTCGCTGCAGCGCGAGCAGTACCAGTTGGGAGAGGCGGGAAGAGACCGCTCGTGCATGACGCCTCCGAAAGTTTAAATATATTTAATTTTTCTAATAAAGTCTAAAGTCAAAAGCAAACTTCTCACATGTTACCTGCTCTGTCGGAGCGACTACACTAACAGCCGTACGGCCAGCGTGGTGTCGTAAATCCTGCCGGCGCCGACTACGGGATCCTAGTTGGGTCAAATCATGACGAGTTTGCTGTCCAGAAGGATATTTGCGGCTTTTAACAACGCGTTTTTATGTTACTATTAAAACAACATAACAGTGGCGACCAATAACCAAACGTAACAAGTTATATACGTGTTTTTTTAAAAAAAAAAAAACACATCTTGCTGTTAACGTGAAAGTTGTAAACAGTACTGCCGTAAAGCGAACAAAGTAGCGTCGTGGGAAGAAAGCAACATGGCGACGGCAATGACAGGACGTGGTGAGAGAAATGCAGCCTACTTACCCACAAATGTGCTCTTATATGACATACATTGTATCTTCGGACTATGTTTTAACGGATTCCCGATTTGTTTTCAGCTGTGTCTTTCATTAGGAACATATCTGGGGTGTTCCACTCAAGGTGAGTGCATCAGTATCAGTAAAGCTGTGACTGTCTCTGCAGAAGGACAAATGTCTGAGGAATGTGCAACACACAAAAAGAAGTTAGAGTTATACATGTTGTCACGTTATGAGATACAGAACTATAAGTTTACATTTGCTGTAAATGCTGATAGTTTCCAGTGTTACTAGATATATGTTAATTCAATTAAAAACACTTTATTATACAATTTGGGGCGAGCAAGTGTGCAAACAAAAAATGTACAATGTGCCTCAATGTCTTATGTGTGTGCAACTAAATGTCTTGTTGTTCCTTTCCTAAATGTCTTGTTGTTCCTTTCCTAAATGTCTTGTTGTTTCTTTTCCTAAATGTCTTGTTCTTCCTTTCCTAAATGTTTTGTTGTTCCTTTCCTAAATGTCTTGTTGGTCCTTTCCTAAATGTCTCTCCAGGTTACAGGTTCTGGCTGGTGGTCCTCAGCAGCTCTCGTGTCTCCACACCAGCACTTCACTGGAAGCAAAGAACTGGGAGAAGAAGAACAAGATAGTTTATCCACCTCAGCTACCAGATGAACCACGCAGACCAGCAGTGAGTCTTTCTGCTTCTTGATAATATGAAGTATGGAGTTACAGGATGTTCTGGTCAGGCATCACCTGCAGGAAACAAGTTCATAAAAGTCCCATAAAGACCGTCAAACCTCAGAGTCTCTTTGCATTGAAAACCACAAAGTTATGGCTGTATGTATCTTGAGTTAGATGAGCATGAACATGTCCATATCCTTTAAACCGTGCAGAAGGTGACTCTTTGTTGTTTTCAACATCTGAACACTTTGCTGTTGTCTTTTCTTTAGGAGATCCACCACAGCAGGAGGCAGATTAAGTACAGCAAAGACAAGATGTGGTACCTGGCCAAAATGGTGAGACTCACAGCGAGAGTTTTCCTCCTCAATATCAAAAAACGGTTTTCAGTTTTCTTGACTATAGTGGCATTCAATTGGTATACAGTAAGTTAAGTATGTCATGTGTTATTTTTTTCCCGTGCTTGTTTTTTATCTGTTTGTTAGTTAGCAGGATTAAAAAGGTGTAAACAGAAATTAAGTGTGATGGGACAGCAGGCCATGGGCCAAGGAACATGCCATTAGTGCATCCAGTGTGTATCCAATGTTTTCAAATGTTTTCTTTACGTTATGAGAGAACTGCACTTGAAAAAATCTGACATCATTTAATATGTTACATTATTAAAATAACAGAACAATTGGGGGTTTATTAGTTTTAATCTGACTGTAACTGTTGCATACAGATTTTTCCTGTTGTGTTGTTCACAGACCCAGTGTGGACATTGTTAACTTAAGCATGGCACTGCAGTTAAAAAGCTGCCACCCCAGGCAGCGCAACACCCTGCTGTCCTCCCAGCTGTGGAAGAAAATGTTGTTGTGTCATCTCACCGTTTGTTCTCGTTCTCCTTCGCAGATAAAAGGGATGAGCATCGATGAGGCTATTGCACAGCTGGAGTTCAACGACAAGAAATGCGCAAAGATCATGAAAGAGGTTCGAAGCTGCATGTTCACTCTTGGTTGCTGGATGTGTGTGTGTTTAATAAAATTAAAACGTTAATCAAATTCCTGTATGCTTAAAGTGTCCCCCTTTACATTGCTTATGTTTAATTTGTTTGTTTTTTCAGGTTCTTTTGGAAGCTCAGGAGATGGCGGTCAAAAATCACAATGTAGAGTACAAGTCCAACCTGTATGTAGGTAAGTGTCGGCAGCACTGATGCGTTTCACCGTATTTAATTTTCTGATAAAGTTGGATGGGTAAATATTATAAACATCCTCCGATAAGTGTTGTTTTTTTATGGTTTTAATGTAAGGTAGCTAATGTGAGTTGTTGTTAATGGTCTATCATTAATGTATAGTTCAACAAGACATTTGGACTTAAAAGCAACATCATTTTATTCCATGTAGTAACCTCTGGGATGCCTCAAGACCTCAACATAAAGCCAGTTTATTGAGTAGTCTTTGCTTACTAACTAAAGTTAAAGACTGCTTAAAGTCAAGACTGGAAACATAACCTTGTTGATGGATCTAATAACTGTTTTCCATTTTAAATATGATGATGAATATGAGTTATGTTTTTTATATTAAAGCTATATCATATATAAGGATGCTGTGTGTATTTAAATATGTAGACCTCAATGTTTAAAGACTTAGACTAGCAAATGAAAAACTTGGCCATCCCAAAACTATTCTTAAAATATCATATCAGTCCTGCTGTTAGCCATTGTGCCATAAGCAAGACATTTCAGAGTGAGGAAAATGACCTTCAGTAGGATGGAAAGCAGGTAATGAATATATGTTTTTTTTACGCAGTAGATTTCCTTTGAGTTCAGATGCTGTGCAGAGTGAGTAATTTATGTGGAGTTGCAGACGTTATTACAGATAAGCCTAAACTCACCATAATCTTTGTTATTCTGACCAGTTTTTCGTTCAAAGGCACCTCTACAAATTAAATGAGTTATTCTGTACCCTATCTCTCCCTCTGTTTATCTCATCCCCTCTTTAATCACACGCCATCCTCTCCCGTCTGCCCTCCTGCAGCTGAGTCCAACTCCGGCAAAGGGAAGTACCTGAAGCGGATCCGTTACCACGGCCGGGGGAGGTTTGGCATCATGGACAAAGTTTACTGTCACTACTTTGTCAAGCTGGTGGAGGGCTTGCCACCCAAAACGGAGGAGAAGACAAGCTTTGACCAGGCCAAAGAGTACGTGCAGAACCTCAAGAACCGAACCATCATCCACAGTCTATAGACCATCTGACAGGATAATATTTCACATGTACCTTTTACTGTATATCTGTTTGTGTCATTTGACATTTGTAAATAAATGAGGAAATTGGTAATGATATATTTTATAGTGTTGCTCAATTTTGGCTTTTTCATTGATTTATTTGGACATATTACCCAGCGATGCAGTTACAAAATAAAGTTATGACCACTAACGCCACTAATGTTTATGTAATATGACTGAAAAAGGATTTTCTACAATAGATTATTTCACATAAATATTATATATATATATATATATATATATATATATATATATATATATATAAAATTCTGTGTCTCCCATACAATAACATATCAGCCACGTATGTGTTTGGGGTAGTAGTAGTAGTTGGAAGATTGTGACATTTTGTGAAATGCTTCAACTCTTAACAGAATATAGTCCAATTAGGCTAATAGATCTTTTATGGTATGGTCTGACTGTCCTGGTGCCCAGAAGTTGAGCTGATACTGAAGTATTTAAACCGTATAAACAATACAAAGGAATATGACCCGGTGGCTAAATTGAAAAAAACAAGTGCAGGTTTGGTAAAGCGTCACTTTATCCAAGTTGTATGTATCATTGACAAACTATGTCATGGCCATAACAGCATTTGTCAGTGTCCTAAAATGTTATCTTTTAATGTTGTTTTTCGGGGCACAGCCTACACGTTTTTGCTTGAATGTAAAAATTGTACATTTAAGATTACCTAAGACTGAAAGTGGCTAATTTAAATAGTTTTGGATTTGAAGAAAAGAAAAGGTACAGTGAACAAAAATGTGAAGACATTAATTATATTAGCAAATAACATATAGTAGCAAATAACGCTATCACTATGAACATCGCTCCAATAAAAGAGTGAAGCAGGACATAAAATGGGTTTGTTTTTGTGGAGGTGTAACCAATTAAAGTGATGGGGGGGGGAGCACAGTGTGTGCAAAATGTGCTGTTGACTCAGACCTATATTTATCAAACTTGTAAGAGGAACTTAAGAGCCAACAGAGCAACAAAGTTGTGAGTGTGAGAAACAAGGCACATTTATCAAGTCGTTTACCGCACAGCATGATTGATCACATATATCCCCAAAGCAGGAAGAGACAATCTTTCATTCTTTCTATAATAATTGGGACTAACTTTTAAATTAAGACGTATTTAATATATTTATACTTCATAAATATGTAAATAAGGAGGAAATGATTGAAATGGTCTGAAACTGAAAAATAAAACCAAGCCTGAGCAGAGAGGAGAGTGTGCTGCTAGTAGAGGAGGTTCAGTACATCATAGAAAACAGATAATGAGGGGAATTTAATACTACATCGACAAGCACAGAAAATCAATACGAGCTTTATTCTTCTTGTTTGCACTGCTGCCAATGTAAATTTGGAGATAAAAGTCTACAACAATTATATTCAACTTAAGGCCCAGGGGCCAGTTAGGGTGGCCAACCGACTATTTTCACTGGGAGTTTTGTACGTTTATACAAATTAGTAAATGTTAAATAAGTTCTCCTTAGTTATAAAATAAAACAATCAAACCAGGAATTGGAACTGTTTACTATAATTACATTATGATTTTATGTGTGCTGGTGTCTCACCGCATGCAGCTAGTGCCCTATTTTTAGTTTTGATGCCCCTGCCCTTCAGACAGCCTGAGTCCGCCACTGCTCTACTGCACATCTCCTCCCACTGCAGCACTCAGCAAGTCACCAAAACACCAAACAGGCGCAGGCAAGGAAAAACATCCCTCTGCACCTCAGGAAATTATCAGTGTTTTCTGTGCCACGCGGTCACACGAAAATAGAGCCTTAAGTGTGTGTCTGTCATACTGTCACACAACTCCACTGTGATGGGTGTTAGGGTGACACGCAGTCACCACAACTCCTCCCCTGAGTACAAACCTGTCAGCTTCACTGTTCTTCATCCCTTCACTTCGACCAACAACTCTGTGAGGAACTGGCCTGCAGACATCCTCAAAGCTGTCTCAGTGCGTTTATAAAACACAGCAAATGATAAGCTGAAAGTGATTGGCTTTGCTTGGAGGTTTCAGTCTGGTGAAAAGAGGAAGCACTTTATGTTTTTAAAAGGAGATTTCACAGGTCACAGCGGTCTTCCTATGCTATATCTTTTTATATCAGAGCACAGACATGTAAATTGGTTGTTAATTTAATTCTGTGACTTGCTTATGCTTTTTGTTGTCCTTGCTTTCTTATCTAAAACTCCTGCAGAATGTAATTTTGTCTGCTTAACGTGGTGTCTTTCATGTCCTCATCTATTTATTATTTGCATTCTCTTTCGAATTTCTCAGCCTCCTAGTCATCATTATTATCTGTTATTCTGCTAATAAATTGAATTTAGAGGGAAAGAAAACATCCTCAAAGGAACAAACTAAGGAGGAGACACGAAAACAGGTCCTCTTTGGGAATTTGTATTTTCTAAAGGTCACAATGTCTCGGCGTTGTCGAGCTTCGGTCTCTGCTGTCCCTAATTGGCCTTTAGTTTCCTGTTCCTGATGTGAGGGATCCAGCCCGTGTATCTGCCTGTCACCACGTCTGCCTAAAGCCCTTGTCAGCTCTGAGCAGCTTTGAGTGTATTTTCAAGTAAAATGCCATCTGCTGGCCCCAATTTCAGCAGACAAGTGCCCTCAATCTCAGGTTCGAGGCCGGCTCGGTCCCACAGCACAAAGCAGCAACGACTTCTGAAAAGAGCAAAAGGTTTTATCTCCCGCCTTTTTTTCTTTTTTTTTCTCTCTAACCTAAACTTTCTCTATACCTGACTGTTTATCTTTACTCTTAATTTATTTCCACCTCAAACATGCGGAAAACATTTGGTGGAATATTCAGTATTTCCAATTTATTAAAGCAATCATAGACACAGTGGTCAGACTGATACTGATACTGGAGGTTTTGCTTTTGTTTTTTAAATTAGGTTATTAAAGAATTGCGAACAATAATAAAATAAACCTGTCACTGCTTACTGGTTGATAAGCTGTATAATGACAAAGAATTTATATACCAGAATCTTTTTTTTTTTTTTTTGTCTGCCGGAATATATACCCATTTGATAAGCTAATATTGACAGATGATATTCACCATACTGCTGACATATAAATGGAGATTAAGTTCAATTTCCAGTTGCGGTAGGCCTACCTCTGCTGTGTTCCAACAAACACAATTGGGCATTTGACAGGAAGAAGCCATATAATTATCAAGAGGTTGAACCGGCTCCTGCCAGTGACAAAACAAAAACAAAAATCTTCAAAAATCAAACAAAACTGCCTTTACTCATTTGGAGGATCCATCTTTGGACACGGCTATAAAGAGTTAAAATGACCTTCTGAAGATAAACAAATTACTTTGGAGTGATGGTGAAGATGCTTGTCTTCTGTTGGATAGCCAACAAACAAAATGTGTGCCTTTTTAAACAAACATAATTATTAATGATTACAGCAATGGATGTGCAGTCCAAGCATGGAGTGTATCGGTCTACCCATGAGTCAGTAAACTGAGCAATGATGCATTCAAGCGCAGCGAGAAAAGTGTTCCTACCACAAAAAAACAACAAAATACTGCACTGACTTTTGTTTTCCACAAACCACCTTCCTTCTCTCCCAGCTGTAATAATGCAAAGACAGGCTACAAATGCACACACACTGATGCGACTTGTGTAAATGTCTACACCAATTAGTCGGCATTTTACAGATGACTGCCTCCGCCCGGTGGCTACGGACTCACAGATACACACTGAGATTGAAATGAAAAATGTTTGGCAAGCTTCGGCCAATAAACCTGAGAGGCTCGAGGTCCATCTGGGCTTTCTGTCAGATAAGGGTATGTTTTTGTGAGTCGTGTTGGTGAAGCAGCAAAACTGCTGAATAATGTATGTGTGTGAATATTGTGCTGATTGTGTGTGTGTGCGTGTCTGCATGAGAAACGGTGAACAACCCCATTGACTTCATTATTAACATTACAAAGTTATGATGTAATAAAGATGAAGACTTTTAAAGTCAATCTGCACTTTTAACTGTGTCGTTACACAATCATAATGTTATACTGACAAACATAAGGCAGGCTTTAAGTAAACAGTGGTGGATTACACAACTCAAGCAAGTTTAAAGTCTGCCTATCGATTTCCATGCTATAGAGAAAGTACTTGAAGCAGGTGGTTGTGTGGATTGGTAGGAAAAGCATCCTTTGTAGTTGGGGAGTTTAAATTTACAGTCAGACTGGTATTGTGGTCATTTGGTCATCACGACCAGAAAATAGGCTTGGATAAATCAATGTGATCATAACATTAGGTCAAACATTGGATATCATGTTAGGCCTTTCTCCACTAACTCTTTAAATGAAACTCTTACACAATGTTTTACTTACGTTAGTCCTCTAGTTACACATGCAGATTAAGTCATTGTGGAACGAATTACCTCACATGCGTTGCATTACTTACTTTTAAAGTCACTATCCTGTTGTTGTGATCATGGTGAGGAGATTGTGGATGAAATATGCAGCAAACCTAAATGTTTTTTTTTTTACTTTCAACTGTAACAAATAGTCTTGATTAGGAGACAGAGACTGCTTAGTTTTCATGGAGCTCAAAAAGTTTGTGAGTGGAAATTGGGTTGGGATTGCTTTTTTGAAACTACCATTTCCATCGTCAAAGATAAACTTCATGCACAACTTTTAAGCCAACACAGAACAGCTATGGATGAAATTATAATAGCGTACGTGCTAACAGATTCAGCGCTATAACAACTAAACAAAGTCACATAACAAGTGACATTGAGTTGGAATTGTATTGTCAACTACTATTCCCAAAGGTCAAAAATGAACAACCATAATTAGTTTTTGTTTCTGGTTGAAATGAAGTAATATGCTGTATTACTCACTCCCACATTTAAACATATTAATCTTAATCTCAATAACCAGAGCACATGTATATATATATTAGTGCCCTGGTAGCCAAGTGGTTACAGTTACAGTGCATGGCACCTAAGTGATTTCGTAGTATGTCACACCCATCTCTCTCCTCTTGTTTCCTGTATGGTTCCTAATGTCAAATTCTGTTTCCGGAGTCCAAATCTCTTAA